TTTTGGCGCTGTTGTTGCCGTTGCTGTTATTGAACTGAACTGAGATGAACTGCGTGAGCAAAGTCGTCTGAGTTGATCTGTCGAATCCATAACCGAACCGCTCTCAAATTGTGGAGCAAATGAGGCTAACTACCTCTCCCAGATATGCGAGAATTTAGGCGCGGTTGCTGTGAGAATCAGATTGCGAGATGCGCTCGCACCGTACTTGGCACATTTCTATATAAATCCGGTGTACCTCAGCGAAATACAAACATTCCTGTTGCAGCAGCAGACGCGTTTACCGCATCAGGACCTAAACACACAATCCCAACAGGATAATTTCCAAGGATCAACAATATATCTCTAAATACACCTAACACAAAAAAAAAAAAACAAACAAAAATCAATTCACAAAATGTTCGCGAAATCAGTGCTAAGCGTTTTTGTGTTTGTGGTGAGTAATGTGTGTTTGTGCTAAAGGACATTAATACAGTCCAATTACAGTGCTTAGTGACGTCATTAACGGATACAAGTTCAACTACATAAAGTATACGCATATCAAGTATACGCCACTTGGGCGCCAAACTCAATTAGTACATTTATATACTATACAAACCTGGCCTACACATAGATTTGGTAAAAAACCATTCTGAACTTTTTCGTGCCAAGTCAGTTAAAGCTCAATCTCATGGCTATGCAGGCTTTGCTTTGAATTGCAGTTGAGTCAAAGTCAAGTCTTTCAAATTTTTCATACCTCATAACTCAGCGTTATTAATGGCATTTGAAATATCATAAAATATTTCAAAAACAAAAAGCACATAACGTTTTTTTTTTTTTGAGGGGGTTTCTGCGCGTGCCCATTGGCATTTATTACTTCCTGCCGGCTAATTGAACTGTGAATAAGAGCTGGGAGTTGCCGCAGTCATTTAATATGCCGAATTCCATAAAGCAAATATTATAATTAATTTATGAATAAATTCTTTACAGGGCCTTGTTGCAGTCAGCCTCAGCAATCCCGTTGATAACAATGGCAAGTATACGGTTTCAGCGCAAAACTCAAACGACGGCAAATATCATGCACAAGATGATGGAAGATATCATCCAAGTTCAGCGGACGAAGGTATTTCGGCATTGCAATTGAGTATCTAAGCACCTGATTATTTGGTACCACAAGTTGTTGCATGACGCCTTCCCGCACTGCATGTTGAAGCCACAAGCACTAACAACAACAAGTCCAATGGGACAACCAACACACACACACTCGCACACTAACTTTAATATACGACATGCATTTCTTAATGTATTGTACCTACTGATAACCCAATTTCATTTATGAATACGTGATAGTAGCAGAGTTCAAGCTCAAGCTAAAAATTCGGTTGGTTTTGGTAAACACGAGTCATTGAAATTTGTTATCTTTGAGAATACTGTCGGCTTGAGCTGACTTTATTGTGTCGCACACTAAACACATTGTTTATTATTATTTTAGCATATACTTGTATATATATATATTAACATTTAATTTCTTATAGGCCGAGGTGGCTATCAGGATTCTTTAGGTAAACATAACAGTGAATTGTTAGAAAATTTTTAATTTTCTAAAAAAAAACTACATAAACAAAGCCACACAAACAATCAAACATCGTATCATATCCACAAAATAGAATTTTAAAAAATATATAGGTATTATATCATAATACTCCTTAGCTTAACCATAAACTGTGTCCTACATGCACAGTCAAAACTCGCAGCAAATTTTATAATTCTCAAACAGCAAACAACGGATTTAATTGCATGCACTTTGACAATGCTCGCTGTAGACCGTTGTTTAACTGCTTTCTTGCTTTATCAAGGGCTCCAATTGCTCCAATTGTACAAAAAAAAACATTGTATCATGGTTATTCCGTGTATCTAAATTATTCCGTAAGCCTTACATACGTTGAACAGCATTAATACGTATAGCTAATTTCTTCTAACCTGACCTTCCATACGAAGTACTAGTTCTCACTTAAACACACAAAAAACTCACACTCACACATACATGATTTCAATATGCGCTTTTTTCTAAGATTTGTTTGAATTTATTTCCCATCGAACAGGTCGTTATCATCACATGGTGCAGCCCTACATGCATGTGAGCGATAACCGTGAACTTGGTATTTATCATCATATTCCCTATCCATACGATGGTGGGTATGGGCCATACTCGGGCCTCAATCGCCCCTATGTGCACGATGACAGACCCTACAAGTAAGCAATAACTTACTAACTGTTATCGCAAGTCTAATTCGTTTTATTTGCATATTTCTTTCACTTTCCATAGCCATGATCTGTACACAGTAAGTAAAGCTGAGTTTAAAGTACCCGAAATACGCTTGGAATACGGCTTTCCCGATCATGAACCGCAAATCGAACACTAAAGCTAAAACAATGCTCAGTACCACAAAAACAGTATTCACGATCAGTTTTTAAAATGAGATCCAAATAGCCAGCACCCCCCACGCTTTCATAACTCAACAGCCATTAATCAAAAAGCAACCTGCCAAGCGTTTCCCGTTTCCTGTCACTCCCAATGCGCTGCATGACACCAACTCCACCAACTGCCTGCATATGCATGAAACCCTCTTACGCATACACACAATCCCACCAAAAAAAAAAAAAAACACACACGCACACGCATACGAAACTCCTGCCAATTTGATGAGCTCGATACTTAACACGTACCATAACAACACAGTCGACCACAACAACCACAACGAAGAAACCAACCACAACCACAGAACGCACCACAACAACAACGACCACGACGACGACCACGCCTCGCCCCATACTCTTCAACTACGATGACGAGGGACGCCATAAGATTCTGCACCAGGAAGAGATCCGCAAGAAGGACAAATACGATCATGCGTGAGTTGCATGAGTTAACATTTAGCCGACCAGCCGACTCAACCAATGCCAATTTGTTTTTACAGTTTCCTGACCGAGAACGGCATCTATGGCGAGGAGCAGGCGAAACTGCATCATGGAGGTGGTACTCATGCCAAGGGCTACTATGAATATACCGGAGATGATGGCAAATTGTATCGCGTGAACTATGCATCCAATGATAGGGGATTCATGCCCGAGGGTGAGCACATTCCAACACCACCACCGATTCCCGAGGCCATCGCTCGTGCTTTGAAGTATGTGGAGGAGCAGCACAAGGCGAATGGAGATAAGCCTCTGTTCGATCATCGCGGATTCCGTATCAATCATATGACCAAAGAAATCAAGGCACAAATCAAGTCGATTCATCTGGATCAAATGCCCAAGGAGCTGAGCGATCAAATCCGTATGCTGGAGCATGAAGTCGAGCTGGCCGAGGAGGAGGAGGCGCGCGAACTGGAGGAAGAGCAGCGCCGGAAAAGTGCTCATCAGCTCTGAATTGAAGCGAGTGAATTCCCCCCCACATTGCTGTGTTCTCATCTAAAGCCATAGGGATTGTGTTGTGCACAACACATTCTTAAGTCCCCCGCCCTTAACCCCCTGCACCATTAAAATGTCCCTCCATTCCCATGCATTTGCCGCCAGCAGCTGGCAAAAACTATAACAAGCCATCGAAAAACTGCAAAAAAAAAAAGAACAACAAACGAAAATCCATAAAAAATAGAATTGTACACAAAAGGATTTGGTACTCGTATAGCCACGCCCGCATATGTTAATTTTGTATTTATTTATCGATATATTTAAATTGTGTTATGAATTTAAAAACAATTATTTTTATATATTTTTAATAAACATAAAACATTATTTGTTACAAAAATACAACTATTTCTTCTCAATCAACGGAACTCTCGCTTTGAACAGAAAGCGTCAAATTATTCATTAAATTTGACCTATGGGAAAGAAAGGTCAAAGCTTCGCTTGATAATAAAACCAACTAATTCATGTCAAAATAATGCGGGATAATTAATGAGTTCATTGAACTGCAGAAAATTTTAATACTCTTATTTGTAATAGAATATATATTTAAAAATTCACTAATGCCAAGCAATCTGCCCATTTGTATTGAAATCAAAAAACGCACTGAGAGCATAGTAAGGGTATTTGAAAGTCGATGCCTTTCCTCTTGTTAACAGAGCATTTCGTAAACAGGCTCAATATGCGCACATTAAAAATAAATCGTAAAATTAAATGTACATTTTAGCTAAGTGTCAATGGCCACACAAATTTAATTTCTGTTTTCGATTAAATCTTAAGGTCAATATAATATATATAATCTATAAATTATATATTAATTGTTTTGAGTATGGTTTTTGAAAGCAATATCTTTTATAGCATCCAGCTGCGATGCTTATAACGGAGAACACAATTTAAAATTCTGAATATTTTGATATTAATTGTTCGCCTAAATTTTCATTTAATTAAAGCACACTTTTGTGCTCAACTATTAAATGCAATAGTTGAGCTTTGTATTATTCGAAAAGCTTTTTGCATGGAAAAATCAGATAGAACAAAGAAGAAATTCAAAATGCCGCAGATTAAATGCTCTTGCAAATATGGATATTTTTTGGCAATAACAACTATTAGATATAGCAATGTGGCAAAGGTTCTGTTTTTAACCAATAGCCCCTATGACAACAAAAGGGATAGGCCAGTTAAGAGCTATAATTTGTGTAGAAACAGACAGACATGGAATAGGCACACGGACAAAAGAGACATGGCCAACCAAATTTGACCTCAGATTAAAAATTTGTGAAAGTCTATTTCTATGACGATATCGTCATACCCCATGTAACTCAACTTCAAAGCGACCAATCAAATGCGGCCGCAATTTTATATGCTTTGTGGTTGCGTGCGATATGCTTACACAGACTGAAATAAGTTCCGATTGTGGAAATCAACATTAACTTATAAAAAATATATTAAATGTTTAAAAATGTTTAGGAATATTGCTAGTAGGCTAGAGATTTCATATATATAGTATATTTTTACTATTGAAATGGCATAAATGAACTCACCATCTTGTTGTAATACTTCCTTTATAAATTCCGGCTTGTATGTTCTACTCCATTCCCCGAATAGCATTTAAATATATGTTTATTTTTTTTGTGAGGTTTTAAACAAACGTTGGTTAAAATTGTGAATTTCACATTATTAAATTTGATATTTTATTTCACACACTTCGTACACCGTCTAGTTGACTTTATTGCCTTGTGTAGACCACATTAGCAGGCGGTTGTTGGTTCGCATAATTCGCAGCATTTGGACCATCATCTGAAAATCAATTGCGGTTATTATATATTTATTTCAAGTAGGATATTTGAATGTTTTTACTCACAGGTAATAACTGGGCGAAAGCCGTTGGCATCTGCCACATATCTGACACCGACTCGAATACCTTCGGGTGATATATACGAATAGGCACCAGATACCTGTTGCCGCCCGTTGTCGATGTAAACGGGCGCACCGCGCTCTTCCCCGTGAATCCCGTTCTCAGTCTCATAGCTGTAGGTATAGGAGCCCTGGCCATAGTTGGGCTCATTTGACTGCTCGACGGTGCGTGCCAGAGCATTGGCAATGTTCGGATTGTATTTCTTATAGAAGTTGTCATAGTAGCGGCGCTGATTGTACAGGTCGCGGTTCCTAAAGTACAAATCCCTATAGTAGGGATTGTTTCGATACGGACTGTACACCCGCTGTGCATTGCAGATGGCCACACAGAGAGCCAGCAGTAAAAAGCAAGAGGACTGCGCAAAGAGTTGTTAATTCTCATTAGATTCCTTTTAAATCTTCAACTTTCGGCAATATTTTACCATTTTTGATTTTTGATTTACCATTTTTAAAGACATTTTGCAGGGGCCTGTTGCTGCAATGCTGATCTATAAAACGAAACTGTAACAAAGCAGAGCCTGACAGCGACATTTATAACCATGTGTGCCTCCGTTTAGTAAAAGCATTTAATTTTTAGACCATAAAATCATTATATTCTGTCAGCGAGCGGCGCCTAACATTGGCAAATGAAATCCAATCTCAGCAGAAGCTGAAAAGTTTTTTCGGGCTTGCTAATTTCCGCTTCGAATTTCGATTGTTATTTAAATTGGGAAGCTATAATACAAACCTATACTCTGTAAGTATATCAAGTTGTATAGTTACGACTGTCTAGATGAAGATAAAATTAATAAATATAAGACTTATTACTCTTCAAATTTAGAAAATTGATCTGCTTACTAACTTTTGTAATTTGGTATAATCTTATAGGATATCTCAAAGTCAAACATTTACAGCTCGTAACGGTCTTATTATGTTTGCATAAATAAGTTAAGTTTCAGAGCAGTTGTAGGTAAAATTCAGCATTCGCACAGGAAATATGTTAAACCAGATGCGAGAGATACGTGCGGCAGACAAACAAAGAAATCATCTGGTGACAGAGAGGGCTGGCGGGGACTAAGTTATTGCATTGCTCTATATAAATATATATTAAGCAGAATTTAGCATATAAATGAGTTTACTGCTTAGGGAGCATTCTTATTAAATTGCAAATTTAATATTTGGAAATTTGAGAAGATTCTTAATTAAAGTCTAAATACGGTAGCAATTTTTTTTAGATTGGAATTAAAGTGCGAAAATATGCTTTTACAATACAGAGCTACAAGTACAAGAGACAGCGGGATGGAGTGTAAGAGAATCAATTAGAATGACAGTTTGAACTCAAAGTCTTTTAGTTATAACTATGAGAATTGCATAGCAAGGCGAAATATCTTGCAACTCAGTGTTATTACAGTTCTCAGTAGAGAGAAGCATTCTTGCTCTTAGTGTGTTATAAGAAACAATTTAAATACTCACACAACCATTATTTAGTTAAAGTCTGTACAAAATTAAGACATTAAGATCCGCATAGAATATAAAATTAACTACTGTAACTGATATCATAGAAAAGATTAAGCAAATTACATTGATAAATAACTAATGAATGCCTTTAAATTGCCATGAAAATAGCACTCAATGAATGAGTTGGTTAGTGAATGAATTGTCAAGTACAAAGGGGCGGAGGTGGGGATAAAACGGCGCTCGTGTTGCCATCAAGTTGGCCTTCACATTTCGCTTGAGGCTGCAACAATAGGTGCCACAGCTATTGCAACAGCTTCGAGCTTCGCGATGCTGAAAGCCGCGCGACCCAGAAGCGAACTCATCAGATCGGCGACAAATATAGAATTGGCCACATTTAATATACTTCGAACAGCACTGGCCCATAAAATTCCACAAATCAAACTTAGCTTAAAGATCAGGGTGTTGCAATCAATCATTTAAATAATAAAATACAATAAAATTCGCAAGCAGTACCTAAATCGGTAAGAATTGAATAAGAATATTCCATTTTGTTACCACAAACAAAAACTAAAGGTATCTGAAATGTGAACACCATTTGTCAAGCTTTTGGTTATTTTCTGGTCCGAACTCAAAACTGGATTCGTGGGCAAAACGTAATGTGTTAAACAGATTAATCCAAGCACAAAAAAAGTTTTATTAGCCCATTTACATAAATAAGTCGTTGAAATATATTTTAATTAATTAATAAGATTGAATTTATTTATGATTTTTAGAGGCGTATCTGAATATTCATTGAATAATTATGCATTCTACAAATTCGATTAAGCTGTCCGAACTTAGCTTCGGATAAGGAAAATACATAATAATTAGATTGAATCAATTTATGTATCTATAAACATGACTCGGCTCACTGAATGAAAATAGATTTGCTCTAACTTTTTAAATGAACTGAAATGAATTTTATACTATTTAATATATAAATATATAATGCATAGATATAAGTAGTTTCATGCCTCATCCATTTAGAAGTGTTAGAAGTGTTTTTGCTTTACACCATTAATTAATTGCCTAAATTAAATATTTATAGTGGTTAATTTAAATATTTGATTTATATAACACCAGTAAAATAATTAAATGACTCGTAATTGGACAAACGTGTATAAAAAACACCCACGCAACCCCACGGCAAATCAGTTTTGAGTAGAAAGTTCTGAAATGACAAACGTTGAACCGCATTCACAACGGAATTACGACGATTTCACCCACGTGCCGAATCTCATATTCAAGTCGATGGGATATGATTTTCTGGACACACCCAAGCCCTGGTGGCAGCGCATAATACTCCGCATTTACTGGATACTCTGCTTATTTAGCCATTGGTATATGGTCTACTATTTGATACTGCGAACCGTCGAGTGGAATACGCTGGCTGGGAATCCGACTACCATTATGCGATACGCGATTGTGTACTTCTTTGTGCTTAATTCCGATATGAAGTGCATATTTTTCATGTACCATCGTCGTCGGTTACGAGAACTGAATAACAGGATGCGTGCTCTCTATCCCAAAGGTGACTGCGAACGCCGAGCATACCGGGTCAATGATTTTTACTGGCCACGCATTGCTCGCTATGGAGTCTATTATTATTATTTCGTTGTCTTCGTCGTGGTAGTCGGTCCCATTCTGCAGGCCACCGGAACTTATCTCTATCAGCGCTTTGCCTGGAGCAGCGATATCAAATTTATGTATTTAAGTACGTTCCCAATGGAACGTATTAAATCGATGACACCCATTACTTATGCCTTTAGTCAAGCCGTGGATTTCGTATTTACACACTTCGCAATGAATGTCAACCTGGGCACAGACATTTGGATGATGTGCCTCTGTGGTCAGCTGTGTATGCACTTCGCCCATCTGGGCAGGCAGCTGGAGGCTTACAGGCCCGACAGGCACCGCCAGCTCGAAGATTGTGAATTTTTGGTCAGCATAGTACGCAAACATCAGCTCTTGTTCATGTAAGTTATGATGGAGTAATCGTAATCTTTTAATGAAACATACCTATTATTATAGATTACACAAGGAACTGGATAGTATATTTGGCATGCTAATGGCCTACAATCTATTTAGCACAGCGACCACGCTTTGTTGCGTTGCATTCTATTCAATATTGCAGGGACTGAATCGGGAGGGTTTTGGTTTTCTATTATTTTTCTTCAGCTGTTCGGCTCAGTTCTACATGGTTTGTTACTATGGTCAGCTATTGATTGACTTGGTAGGTGGAGTACTTTAATGTCTATGAAATATTTACTCTTCTACATATTGCTCAGAGTCAAAGCATTGCCCTGGCTGCCTACACACACACTTGGTATGAAGGCTCGCCTACTTATCGAAAGTATCTTCTACTCATTATGCAACGAGCTCAAAGACCAGCTATGCTTTCAGCTAAAGGAGTCATTATCATATCCCTGGATACATTCACGAATGTAGGTTATCATAGCAATATAATAAATAATCTCTCTAATCGAATCTTAACTTTACAGCTGATGAACATCACTTATCGTTTTTTTGCTATCATACGCAGAGTACTGGGAAAATAGAGTTACAACTTTTAAGTCGGCATGGAATATAATATTTAATGCTTCTTTACACAAATATGAATATAATTTCAAGTAGCATAGCCGAGACGGTGGGGCTATTTTGTAAGAAGCTCCCTGACATTTCTATAAATTTGCATTAGAAACCCATTAATCTAATTAAATTCACCTTCGCCTCTGGCACGGGCTCTAGTTGCTCCGACCATTAACATCCAGTACCCAATATGGAAGCCATTCTCATGGCCAACTTAATACATAGTTGTTACAATTATATCCGCACTTTCAGTTTAGTATAAGCTGTCCCTTGACCATGAAAAGACGGACTGTTATGTGGGCTTGACTGATTCTTAAGCTGAGCTAAGTTTGCAATATCTGAAGATTCTTGACGTGACCTAAGCCACTGACATTTAACCAACTGGTTCTACTGCATTTCCAATGATTTGTTTGAGTAAGGAAAATGCTAAAGTATTATATTATATTTATATCATTTTTATAATACAATTTAAAATATATCTCAGCCGTCGGTCAATATCAATAAATACATATTCGGATATTTATTGAGCATGCAAAATTCGAGACACGGCTTGAAATATTTGGCAGAAAACATTCAGGTTCTAACTTTAATTTGAATATTTCTTAATTTTCATTAAAAAATAGTCTTTTATATCATCAATTTTACATATATTTTTATGAATATACAGCCACAAACAATTTAATGACGAGCCGGGGGTGGGGTAGGGGTGACAGTGGCCGTTGCGCTTTTGGCCTTCACATTTCGCGTGCAGCTTGACAGAATTTCAACCAATTCAAATTGTGTGCAACAATAGCTGAGATTGCAACAAAACAGCAGCTCGCCTGATGCAAACCCAACACAGAAGCTAACTAAAACTCAACTCACAGCGTTAAAAGTCAAATAAACTTAACTAATACACGAGTAATTACAGATTCTCATAGACTACAGCATTAAAATTCCAATCAATAATGAGAGTTAAATATGTGCCAAGCTACTTAATTATTCTATATGTAATGTGTTATTTATTAATTACCCATTTTACACCCGCCCTAATTCATGTGTGTCCTCAAGTTGAATTATATTTCAAAGCAATTATCCTTTATAACTGGTGGTGTGAATTAATTAATCATGAAGTCATTAAACATATAAAGTCTTGAGTAATAAATAGTTAAAATAAATTTCTACATTGAATTATGAAACCTTTCTTGTTCTTTCGACATTGTCAACGTAATAAAATTGTAAATACCTCATAGAGAAGCAAAGAGATGGGTTTCCATTGCGGTATTGATATATTAGATATGCTGTATAATTAACACTAATTGCCATT